AATTCTGGGGAGAAGGCAAGGACTAAGGCATCTCCCCTCCCGCCAGCACATCCTGGAGCTGGAAGCCATGCTGTATGACGCCCTGCAGCAGGAGGCCGGGGCCAAGGTGGCTGAGCTGCTGTCGGACGAGGAGCGCGAGAAGCTCAAGGTGTCCGTGGAGCAGTGGAAGCGCCAGGTCATGAGTGAGCTGCGGGAGCGGGATGCCCAGATCCTGCGGGAGCGCATGGAGCTGCTGCAGCTGGCTCAGCAGGTGTGTGCGCGGCAGGTCGTGGCCGGGCCGTGGTGAAGACCTGGCCAGGCCTGCGCAGAGCCAGGCAGGGCCTCCCATGCCCACACCTCCAATGACTACCGCTCTGTGGCCCTGCTCTCCAGTGGCCACTCCTCTCATAACACAGTCTCTGATGTCTGTGCTCTGGTGGCCCTGCCCCCAATGGCCACGCCCACTGATGGCCATGCCCCCCAATTATCACGCCTTCCTTAGATGGCCACATCCTCTGATGGTCATGCCCCAGAATGGCCATGCCCTCTATGGCCACACCCCTAGTGGCCACGCCCCCAAGGCCATTCCTGTCAATGGCGGGCACTCGGGCCAGACTGCCTCCCTAGCCAGCCCCATGTCCTGGGTGTGCTGCAGAGGCCTCTGGGTGGCAGTTTTCCCCTTTTGGACCCCTGGCTACTGTGTCTTTTCCATGACACCATTTCCTGATGGCAAGGGTGCTCTCAGGACAGCAGCCTCCAGCCCTGTCTTGGCTTCAGGGCACTCTGGAGCCTCAGGCCTGCTGGGTCAGTTCTGTGCTGATGGGAGGTGAGGAGCCCTTCAGGCTGGACAGCCTGGACATGGAGGACAGGGCCTAGCTCCTCCGTGTGCCAGGGTGGCCGGGAAATGGTTTTATGGGTACATTCCCTGTTAAGAGCACCCCAAAGCAAAGGTTTGATTGCAGATTCACATAAACAAGTTCCTTGCATACAAGCTGGCCGTGGGCATCAGTGTGCTAATGTCAGCTATGCTCTGCCAGCCCCTCATTAGCCTCCTGGGCTTCTTTGGTCTCCAGGCTCAGGGTGAGGACAGTCACCAGCAGCCCCTCTGCTGCCTCAGAGGGTCTACAGCTGGAGCTTGGAGGCTTGGGGGACCCAAGGCACTGGCATTCCCCCTTGCCAGGAGGCTTGCTCTGTGCCCGGCTCTGCCTGCAATCCTCTGGCGGCTCCTTACTCTGCTGCAGTGACATCTAGGGGTCCAGGAGTCCATTCCCACCATTTCCCTGAGTGTTGGGCATTGTGCTTTCCGAGCTGAAGTTGCAGAAATCAGGAGGATACTGTTCCCGCCGTGGGGAGTGTGGCGTGGGGAAGGCCCTCCGCTCACCTGCCATGGGGAATGTGGCGTGGGGAAGTTCCTGCCATGGGGAGTGTGGCACGGGGAAGGCCCTCCGTCTCCCACCGGAGCTTGACAGAGACGTGTGTTCTCGTCAGTAGCCACAGGCCATGGCTGTACCAGCTGCTCTGTGACCATTTATTACCAAGGAAATGAGCGAACATCTTGGAAGATTTGGGCTTGCTAAGTGTCGTGACTATTGATGTTCTTCTTTTTAACCTTACAGAGAATTAAAGAGTTAGAAGAAAGAATAGAAGCTCAGAAGAGACAAATAAAGGAACTGGAGGAAAAGGTAAAACACATGGGGTTTCGGGGTTTGTCTTGTTGAGATCAAGTGAGAGGTGCCCAGGGTCCCTCTGACCTATGACTCAGCTCCAGGCCTCTGGGAGAGCAGACTTAGCTCCTGACAGCAGCGGGAGGCAGCCGCCCGAAGGCTGGGTGGAGCTGAGTGGGAAAAGCCTTCTGGGTGCTGGCCACAAGGGCTCTGAACCGGGAGATGGGAGCCCCAGGGCCTGGGAATTCCCCTGCCAGGGCCCACTGTGTGACCTCAGAGCAGCCACGCCTCTTGTGGCCTCAGTTTCCCCATCTGGAGCCAACGGCTTCGGGTTCCTTCCCTCACTGGAGCCTGGGCCGTGCGGATGTCTTTGAGCCCTGTGGGTTCACCCTGTGTTGGTCTAAAAGTCAAGTTCTCAGATCAGAAGCGCCTGTTGAAGGGCATTTAGGTTGAAGCCACACGCCAGGGCTGGGGAGGGCTGTCCATGAGATGTGGGGTCAGGGGTGCTCTGTCCATGCGCATAACAGGCTTGGTGCCCCCCAGGTCAAGGTGAGGAGGGCGCGGCAGAGAATCCCGACTCTCCTCTCCGGGGTGCCTGCAGGCTTTCAGGGCGGGGCAGGTTCTCCCACGTGGGGCCGGTTCAGTGGTGTCTGGGGTGACATTGTTCACTCCACTGTGATCAGTCCTGCCTGTGTGGTAGAGTTCACTGAAGCGACCAGCTCCCACCGAGGGCTGAATGAAGTGGCCAGTGGTCCCACCTTCCGTCTCATCCTTCCAGAGAGAACAGGAGGCTGGCGTTGGGATGCCCCTATGGCTGGCACGTGCTGGGCTGAGCCCACAGATGCTCTGCGCTTGCCAGGAGAGACTGGGTCCCTTTGGACAGCAGTCGCCTTAGAGGGGCCTTGTGTCACCCGACACCCCACCCTAGCCCTGCCCCACCCCTCGTAGGCAGTGGCATGTGCGCCCTTCCGCTGGGCACTCACTGCCGCGGGCAAGAATCATCATCCTGAGGAACGAGCTACTCAAGGCACAGCCTGTGCGGCCCCAGTAGACACCAGGCCACATGAGGAGGCACCTGCCAGCACCCGGGCACCTGGCAGTGGCGGGAGGGACACAGCATTCTTGGGGCTTGAGCCTCCAAGAGGGCAAAGCCTTTCCCCCAAACCAAATGTCTGTTTCATTTTGCATCTTCACCTAAGGACATTTGTTTACATTAAATACCAGAAAAGTGTGAGGGTTGGGCGCGCTGGCTCATGCCTGTAATTCCAGTACCTTGCGAGGCCGAGATGGGAGGATGGCTTGAGACCAGCCTGGGCAACATAGCAAGACCCTGTCTCTAGAAAAAAAATTAAAAAATAGCTGGTCGTGGTGGCACGTGCCTATGATCTCAGTGACTCGGGGGCTGAGGTGGGAGGATCTCCTGAGCCTGGGAGGTTGAGGCCACAGCGAGCCACGATTACCCCACTGCACTCCAGACTGGGTGACGGAGTGAGACCCTGTCTCCAAAAAAAAAAAAAGATCAGGTGTTATTTCTTAAATCTATCCTGTCCCATGCCTGATTTTCTCTCGTGTCCGAACGGGCCTGGCTCCCAACCCCCAGCCCAGAATCGGGCCCGGTGAGCTCAGGGTGCTGCTTGCACTCTGCTGCCTGTACTGGGACTGAGACAGAAAGATTGCCACGGGAGTGCCGTTGTTTCCTGGGCATTTGGAGTGTCTTTCAGTACAACTCTCACCATCATTATTAGCCAACTGGTGCTGCCACGGAAAATTCCTGCAGCAGGTCTCAGTGATGGGTTTTGCTTCAGGGAGGAGGAGACCGGGTCCCGGGAAGCTGGCCTTGCGGTGCTGGGGACACGCTGGGTGTGAGGACCAGCGCCCACCGCCTGCGTCTGCAGGGTGCAGGGTCCCCCTGAGCGTTCCTAGGGCTGGCGGCGCTGCCCCTCCCTCCCTCGGAGGGTCCTAAAGCGCATCCTCTCCTGCTGCCGGCAGCCTTGCTGCTTCAGTCTGATCCTGTGTATTTCTTGCCAGACGTACTACAAACTCTTTTTTCTCTTTCTTTCCTTCCGTTTCTCCATCCTCCCCTTTCCGTTTCAGTTTTTATTTTTGTTCTTGTTTTTCTCCTTAGCTTTCATTCTCTGGTCATAGCCCATCTTGGCACCCTGACGTGGTGAGTATTTATTTGACGGGGCCGGCAGGGGTCCCACTCTGCCTCCCAGAAGACACCTCGGCCCCTGCCCTGCCAGGGAGCTGCCCGCCTGCGGTCTGATAAACCGAAAGGCGATGACCTTCCCAGAAGGGCTGTTAGAAAGCCACCGGCCCTTCAAACCGGAAGTCCCTCCCTGGGGGTCAGGACCCGGAGGTCAGGACCCGGAGGTCAGGACCCGGAGGTCTTCCGCTGTAGAGGCTGCCGGGCACTCTCCTTTCCTGAGAGGGAAGAAGGGCAGGCTCCTCACACTGCCCGGTGTAGCAGAACCACCCAGGATCCTCTGTAGGGGGCCTTTCTGCTTCTGCGGCACGTGGCAGCCGGCCCTGGGGGCAGACACAGTGGTTCTGTGACTCGTCCTCATTCTTTTCTGGGTGGTGCTGAGCACAGGTTTGGGCATGCTGGCAATTCAGCGGAGGGGCCCACCTCCCTGCCAGGCTGGGGTGGCTCAGGCCAGGATAGTTGGAGTCGTGGCTGACAGCAGCTTCTGCTTCGGCCAGGTCACACGCCAGCCAGAGGGCTGCCTCCCTCCAAACTAGAAGAGGGGCAGGTGGGACGTCACGTCATTGTTCATCTCAGTCCTCGAGTCCCCACCCTTCAGCAGGTTCCCAGAGGAGCTTCCCCTGGTGGAAGGGGTCTCCCCTTTCCAGGAAGCTCCTCGCCTCTCACCCCTCACTCCAGCCGAGCAGAACCTCACTGACATCTGCACTCTGCGTTTCTTTTCTTCTAGCCCCACGTTGAATTGGACCCTTTTCCTCCAGTGGGACCAAAGAGCAGGGACACAGTGGGATGTCACGTCTCCACCCTGAAGACCCAGGGAGGTTTGGTCTCTGCACGCCCGTCCCGTGGAGGAAGAGTGAGAAGGGGCAGCTCCCATCCACCGGGGATGCGCCGGAACTAGAACTGGCCCCTCTGACTTCTCGGGGGCTTCTCCCGGGGAGCCCGCCCTTGGCTGCTGGACCCTGGGTCCCTTCTCCTGGACGGCAGCCCCCATCCCAGTTCCAGGGATGTGTGACGTTCCCTGCCAAGCAGGGGTGAGAACCGCTTCTGTGAGAAGCACCAGCCTCGGGCCCCCACCTCTCTTGGTTCTCACTGTAGCTGCCCCTGGTATCTGGAGGAAGATTTTCAGAAACAACAGAGGCTGGGCCTGGTGACAAGATGAGGTTAAACATAGCAGCCTGGACGGCGACCTTCACTCAGGGGAACCTGAGGCTCTCTGGGATGATCCAGGAGGGCTCCAGACACCCCAGGGGCCCCTCCAATGCTGCGACGTCTTGCTGGGGTCCTGAGCACTCGCTGGCCAACAGACCCCACACCCCCCCTTGTTCATCGTCATCTCTGGGGGATAGACAAGAGCTGTGGCCGCCATGGGCCTCATGGTGCCATCAACCCTCTGCCTCCCCCAGCCTGAGAAGGAAGGCCACAATCCTGCCCAGGTCGCCAGCCAGGAGCACCGCAGGACCGAGTGGAGGAAGCTGTGGGGAGCGTGGTGACAGGAGGTGGGACCAAGGGGCAGAGCTGGCTAGGGCACGGATGCCAGAGGCTGCCTCCATAGTGCGTCTCCAGAAGCCACGGAGGCCTTGGGTGCCCAGAGCCACCCAGCCTGGAAGCCCCTGCACAGCCCAGACCTGTGGGCCGCAGACCCCAGTGAGGCCCAGTCCCCGGTGGACCCCGAAGCCTCACCCGAAGCCTTCGCGCACAAGGGGCAGCCCAGGGGAGGGACGTGGACGCCCCTGTGGCTCTGCTGGCGCAGGAAGGGAGCTGTGGTCCAAGTGGCTGACAGGTAAGGTCTGTCCACAGGAATGGCCTTTCCTCTCCCGCCCTGTGTGGTGACCCAGCACGGGCCCACACGCCTCCTTCCTGGCCTACCCATGCTGCTTAGGAAACAGCCCCATTTGAGATGAGAATTAAATTCACAGGCGCACCCTCCCTGCCAGGTGAGCCGCAGCCTCCCCTTCACACCTCTGCGTCCCAGTCTGCACCCGCATGGCTCTGCCACCCCTCCACGTGCTGACCCGTTAGGATCACCTCTCCCACAACTGACGGGACAGAGCCAGGGGCTTGCGTGGGGCGTGGCATGATGGTGGCTGGGGCAGGGGTGGGGTGCATAGGGTGTGAGGCAGGTGCTGCAGACATGGGGCAGGTACCTGACACCTGCACAGCTGGCCTCCGTCCACTCACAGGAAGAGGCTTGTGTGGAAAAGGAGAAACCCCGCACGTACACTGAGGCCGCCTTCCTCGTGTGCCTCCCTCTCTCTCTGCGTGTCCCTCCCTCCCTCCCTCCCTGGTGTCCCTCCTTCCCTCCCTCCCTCCCTTGTGTCCCTCCGTCCCTCCCTCATGTGCCTCCCTCACTCCCTCCCTCCCACCCTCCACATTTGCCTCCCTCCGTGGCTCCCATGCACCTGCCCATGAGCACTGTCCCACGCTCAGACCCGGCACCCTTGGTGTCCTCTCTGGGGAGGCGGTGCTGGTTGCTCCCAGCAGGGGAGGAGCTCAGGGCTGGGCAGGGCAGGCCCTACCATGGCACTTTTCCTTGCCGGCAGGATTCCCTGTGGGAAAGTCTGAAGATCTGTAGTGTCCGTGGGACTCTGTGGGGCTCTGGTTCAGGGTGAGCCAGTTCTTGGGGAGGAAGTGGCAGCTCCATGGGGGCTACCCAAGGAGCACTCCACGTCCCCCACCTCCAACCCACACCCTGTCTGAGAGCCATCTGTGTCTCCCATGGCTGGCAGCAGCCAGAGACCACAGGCACTGTTGTTCCCGAGAGATCTCCCTGCATAGAAAATGGGACGGGGACAGGCAGGTGCAACCACCACCCTCGACTCGGGAAAGGACAGGCAGCTCCATCCTGCGGGTCCCCTGGGCCCATGTTCACAGGCACAGCATGGACAAGGCGCTGTCCTCGTGTGGGTCAGACCTGGGAACCAGGCAGCATCTGCCTCCTGCATCCCCCGAGTGTGCCAGGCACAGCCTCCGGACAGAAAGTCCACTGCAGGGGTTCATTCTAGAAGTAGCAGGAGGCCCGCAGCCCCAGCCCTGGCACACGAGGGCACCGCAGGCCCACCAGCCCTCAGGACACGGCTCCTGTGACTGCCAGGAGCTCCGGCTGCCTCCCCAGGAACACTGGTCCGCAGCAAGTGCCAGAGCTCCAGACGCAGCGTTTCCAGCTGTGTGTAAAGGACAGTGCAGTCACAGGGCGGGGTTCCACGCTGCGTTTCCAGCTGTGTGGCAAGGACGCAGTCCTTGGCGCAGTCACAGAGTGGGGGTTCCACCCGCCTCCGGTTCCCCCAAGGGTGGCTGGGGCGGTGAACACCCTGCAGTTTAGCGACACACACGGTGTGGACATGCGCACGTCCCGTGGAGGCTTCCCGGCTGCGTCACTCCCACCCCCTGTGGGCCACGCCTCACAGCCGGGCAGGTAGATTGTCCAGGCCGTGCTGAGCCCCGAGCATGTCCCCCAACTGACGAATCTCAGAGGGGACCCCTGGCCAGGAGAGGGGGGCCTGGGGAGCATGGTCCCCCACAGCCACCCTCGGTGACATCTGGGGCTTGGTCATCCATGGGCGGCCTCCCTGGATGGAGCCATTTCCCGGGTACGGGAGCCTCCCAGGGTTCCACCAGCCTCCCAGGGTCAGAGAGCGAGCCTCCAAAGCGACACCAAGCAGGAAGGCGTGTGTGAGCCAGTAAGCCCCAAGCCATCGTGTTACACCAGTGAGACACCCTGTGGCTACCCCGAGGGGCGGGAGACCCGTGGTCAGAACCCGGAGCTGTGAGTGGCGACACCCTCTTGAGCTTGTTGGGTCAAGTGAGGAGAGGAGAGCGATGCCTTCACCAGCCCCCTTGGGGGAGGCGACAGAGCAGAGCGGGACTTTGGGCCGAGGCCACCCGCCCCCAGGGCTCCTCTGAAGTGAGGCTGCCGTCATCTGCTCAGGTCGTCTCCCACTGTGTCCGAGGGTGCAGGCACCAGCCTGAGTCTGAAGGATGTCAGGAAAGAGCTACGACCTGAATTTGCAGCCAGCAGAGAGCTTCTGTGCCATGGTCCCCACACGCCTGGACCATGTCCTGGACCACCAGCCCCATGCGCGTCCGAAGCAGAGGCCCTCGCCGCAGGGCAGCAGGTGCACGGTGTGCCCTCTATGGCAGAGGAACCGCAATGATGCCTGTTTGAGTGTATTTTTGGACAGTAAAAGTGACACGTGCTTTCTTGTCCAGCATCTCCTTTCTCTCCAGTTAGTTTCTTCCCCCCAACTTTTGATATTGAAATAATTTTAGATCTAAAGCTGCACAAATCGTGTAGAGGGTCCCGTGTACCCTTCAGCCGGCTTCCGTGATGTCCCGTCTTGCAGAATCACGATACACTTGCAAAGCCCTAACTCGGCCACACCCTGGGCTCTGTTTTGCCAGCTTTCCTCTAGGCAAATCCTCCTCCCTGCTCCAGGATCACACCCTGCCTCTGCCCATCCTGCCTCTGGTGCCTGCCACCGTTCCTCCTCATCACCCTTGACCTTGACACTTGGACCAGAATGGGCCGGTTATTTGGCAGAAGATTCCTCGGGCAGGTCCGCCTGGCCTATGGTTCTGTGAAGACGGTGCATCTGGGGGAAATGCCCAGGTTGATGGACCCTAATGTACCCACCAGTGTGCCTGGGGTGGATGTGTTTCCTCACTGACACTGGAAGCTTGAGCACCGGGCTAAGGAGGCGCCTGCCAAGGTCTCCTGTAATGGATGCGTATGTCGGGGGAGATCCGTGGAGACCGAAGAGACCACGTTTCTCCAGGAATGTCCCCGAAACGTCCGCGCCATTGCTGGATCTTCCCTGCTGCACTTCCTCCCGTGGGACGTCCTCTCCCCCTTCCTCCTATTTCCTTGGTTAGGATTTTCCTGTAGAGAGGACCTGCGCCTTTTCCCCTATTTCTTTGCTTATTTATTGCACTGTGTGCTTCTGCCCCTTCAGTCTGTCCCTGGGTCATGGCCCGGAGAGGCTGCGAATGTCTCCTCGCTCAGATGCTCCAGCAGGCTGGCGCCCTGCCCTGAGGGCCTGTGCTGCTGTGAACTCTCTTCCTCTCCGTCCCTGCAAGGCGGGGTCCGTGACCCCTTCCCCAAGGAGCTCTGGTTTCTGTGTTGGAGAGCGGTGTTCAGAACCACGGTCTCTGGCCGACCAGGGTGTGCTTGTTGCTACTGGGGTGACAGTATTTCCAGGTCCGCTGACGACAGCCAGGAAATACGTGTGCGAACCAGCCTGTGTGCCCGTCAGACACGGCCTGGAAATACGTGCGTGAACAAACTTGTGCTTCCCTCCCTCCCTCCTTCTCCCTCCCTCTCTCTCTCCCTCCCCCTCTCCCTTCCCCTTTCTCTCCCTCCCCCTCTCCCTCAACACATACCTACCTATCTCTTAAACACTGTTACAAAAGCATGCATTTGTGGTGACGCCTCTGATTCCAGGCTCTGGTGTGCAGTCCCCCAGCCGCCCTCCTCTCCTTGTTGGTACCGTCTGCAACGTACCTGCTCGCCTGTTCACCGGGGCACTAGCGTCCAGCGGGTGCTTCGGGGTTACTAACCAGAGCCTGTTGGGAGCCACTGCCCCAGCTGGAGCACAGCTCCTTCTCCCTCAGCCTCTCCAGACAACGTGGTGGCTTCTCCCCTGACCCGCCCTCCCCGGGGCTGCTCACGTGCAATGCAGCTGGCATCTCATTCCCTGCTTCAAATAGCGACTTTCTGAAAAAATTTACTTGTAGTACAGTGGGCTGTGGTCTGCTTGTGGCGCTGTGGGGTGTTTGTGGTGGTCTACAGTGTTTGTGGTAGTATGTGGTGGTCGGTGGTATGTTCACAGTGATGTGTTCTCTGCTAGTGTATAGTGGCTTGTGGTATGTGGGTTTGTGGTGGTCTCGTGGTCTGTGCTATGTTCGTGGTGGTGTGTGGTGGTGTGTGGCGTGTCTGTGGTGGTGTGTGGTAGTGTATGGTGGTGTGTGGTGTGTCTGTGGTGGTGCGTCTGGTGGTCTGTGGTAGTGTGTGGTGGTGTGTGGTGGTGTGTGGTGTGTCTGTGGTGGTGTGTGGTGTGTCTGTGGTGGTGCGTGGTGTGTCTATGGTGTCTGTGGTGGTGTGTGGTGTGTCCATGGTGTGTCTGTGGTGCTGTGTGGTGTGTCCATGGTGTGTCTGTGGTGGTGTGTGGTGTGTCCATGGTGTGTCTGTGGTGTGTCTGTGGTGGTGTGTGGTGTGTCTGGTGGTTTGTGGTGTGTCTGTGGTGGTGTGTGGTGTGTCTGTGGTAGTGTGTGGTATGTCTATGGTGTGAGTGTGGTCGTGTGTGGTGGTGTGTGGTGTGTCTGTGGTGGTGTGTCTGTGGTGGTGTGTGGTGTGTCTGTGATGGTGTGTTTGTGATGATGTGTATGTGGTGTGTCTGTGGTATGAGTGTGGTGGTGTGTGGTGGTGTGTCTGTGGTGGTGTGTCCCTGGTGGTATGTGGTGTGTCTGTGATGGTGTGTTTGTGATGGTGTGTGTGTGGTATGTCTGTGGTGGTTTGTGGTAGTGTCTGGTAGTTTGTGCTGTGTCTGCGGTGGTGTGTGGTATATCCGGTGGTGTGTCTGTGGTGGTGTGTCGTGTGTCCATGGTGTGTCTGTGGTGGTGTGTGGTGTTTCCGGTGGTGTCCATGGTGGTGTGTGGTGTGTCCATGGTGTGTCTGTGGTGGTGTGTGGTGTGTCTGTGGTGGTTTGTGGTAGTGTCTGGTAGTTTGTGCTGTGTCTGCGGTGGTGTGTGGTGGTGTGTGGTATATCCAGTGGTGTGTCTGTGGTG